ATATAATAATTGAGATGTCAAGATATTATCTAGACACCACATCATACTTATGGGACTGTATTTTGATAATATAAAAATTATTGTCAAAGGAATGATAAATCTTTTATTTTAAAAACAATGGAAAAAATGTCTATACCTCTCTATATTATGGACATGTATGTCTCAATTATTATGTATTCAAAACTCCATCTGTAGTATCTAAAATTTGGAAAAATTGATTTTATTTGCATTGAGCATTGAGCGGCGCTAAGGGATACCATTGTGCAACGCACAGCAGCTATGCGGTATGGCTCGTGCAGGCTGCAATCCAATTAGGAAATTATTATGAATATAGACCGGATTTTCTGCAGTAAAAATTCGAAAAAGAGCAGTAAAAAAACCCAAAATGTGCAAAATTGTTGAAACCAAAATTATTTTAAATTGTGTAATTAACACCAAAATCGTGCAAAAATCATTTATTTTGTTTAATTTATTAGGTTAATACATCGAAACTTGATCAAACCGAATAAAATGTACAATAACATGGAAACCCTGTCTATAATGTATATGATATATTTAAAAAAATAGTTCCTCTTTTCAAGTTTTTAGATGTTAATTACACAATTTTGAATATTTTAGATTTTTTTTCTACACGATTTTGAGTTTTTTACTGCACGTTTTTACTGCACGAAAATCCGGTATCTAATTAGGAAATTTGGTTGTATTAGTGTAAAGTCAAGGAGGTATACCTAGAATTGAGTCAAACTACGATAACTTTTAAAAAAAATTGTTAGAAGAAAAAAATCGTGAAAAACTTCACGATAACTTACATATACCTACTAACAGACTTATAAAAAGTCAGCAATGTTCACAGTTACACGCTTAGGAGACTCCCAGAAGTTAGATGAAAGATCTCCTCGTTTTCATATAAATACCATTATCAAAATCTTGACACTTCTATTCCTAACTCCTATCAAAGCCTGGCTACTATTCTTCTCGATAGCAGATATGACTTCTCGATAGTACTGATTGTCAGTATTGCTGACAAGTGTGAGTGAAGAAATAAGGTTAAAAAAAATAAAATAGTAGGCTTAGAAATTCGACACACTTGCTAATGTCACATCTATGACGGGTGCGAATGGAGACATAAAGAGCAAAAAAGCAACTATTGCTACAAAAAATATATGTATAAAAAGAGGGTTCCCTTCGAATTCCCCTTTCAAATCAGAAAATTTAACCTATTCTATTTGCAGTTATATTCAAGATAATATTGCAGTGTAAATATCGAAGAAAAAAGGAAAAAATATTTTACTATTATTGTTTGTAAAATCATTTTATTTTAACTTATCTTTTTAAGGATATTTGGAGCAAGGGATGATGGTCCGTGATCTTGGGAAACTGCGGCAAAATTACCTCGAGTCTCGGAAATGGATTTGGGACTCGCTTTCTCTGTTTCCGACAGACCTCGCCTACATTTGGTGGCCCCCAGGTTCCTGCATCAAGATTGTTCCCTGCCCGGTCATCGTTCGTGTCAACCGACTTTTCAGGTAAGCTAGAAATAAAGAAGAATAATGACCAAAATATATTAATAAAATAAATACTAATTATTGCTGTTACCATCATTATCACAATTATGAATAAATACAATAAAAAGTTTAAGGAAATTATGCCGGCTACGCATAATACCAATAGAATCGTAACGTTATCAAGTGACAATAGGGAAAGATTTCTGCTGGAGAATCATACTAATAAGAGAAAAAAAATCGTGGAGCACTTTTTTTTTTGTTATTTATTTATTTTTATGATATTTACAATTGTACACAAAAAATACATCTGGTAAATTCGCACATGGATATAATGACATGGAACACATGTTGAGAAACTACCCATTGGTAGCACTCTAATAATATGTCTATATTAGAAGATCCATCTTCTTGCCATCTTCTTTTTAGACGCCTCAGAGGGTTATCAGGAATTGAATAGGAAGCAAGGTTAGAAACAAGAGGGTTGGGATGGTTATGAAGTTTATTATGAAAGGACAGATATCTGGATTGGGCCAAATCTGATACATAAGGAACATTAAGGTCATTATGGATAATTTTATTTGGTACAAAGTAAGGAGCATTGAGGATTTTACGAAGGATTTTGGATTGTAAGAATTGGATGCGAGAGGAATTTGAAGGTTTGGTCCCATAGCTCATGCGGAGCACTTAAAAAAAATTTTAACTTACAGACCACACCTGACATTATTATATACATAACCCGCAGCCAATTATTGATAGATGATACATGTATCTATTCTTGGATCAACCTATAACATCCTCTACGAGAAAACTAATATTTCATTTATCCCTGAAGAAGAAGACGTACCAAACGTGTTCATAAGGTGTTAAAAAATGTTAAAAAATATCAGAGTAAAAATCCAAGTAAGCCAATGGCTTGATTTCTGAGATGTTTGAGAACATCAAAATGAAGTTAAAGGGTCAAAGTGAACAAAAGTGATTAAAAGAAAAAATTATGTTAGAGATAATAGAATTTAGAAAAAGTTGATAAAGTCAAGCAGATAACTTAATAATATAAAACTTAATAAGTGAAAGCTTTGGGGAAACAATTTTGTATATGCTAAGAAAAAGTAAATGACGAATAAAACTATATCAATGGAAGGTTATTGTAGAATAGCTAATATGAGACCTTATATAAAATAATGTTAAAACTACTGGAAGAAGCTAATGATATTAGCCTGATATCCCGGATAACAGATAATGTGATAAAATAATACCGAGTTCCCGTCCCGATGCCAAGGAGACTTTTAACTCTTGTATTAATTCCCCACCCCCAGCGCCTACTCTGAAAACCACCGTACAACCTAAAATGAGAATAAGGGGAGGACAAAAAAAAAAAGAAAGAAAAGATGGTACTCACATAACGTATTATGATAAATGTAACTACTTGAAATAGGAAAAGTAAGTACTAATAGTATAAACGATTCAATTTAATAAAACACATTTAGCTCAAAGCAGGTAGAGGCCTATGACGAACAGATCCCTCATATTTTATAAACTTTAGGCGGCAGAATTTTCACGTTCTGGCATCGCCTCGATAGGTTTCCCTCAAACATGATATTGAGTTAGTAAAGTGATTGGTTGGCTAAATCGAAATTCGTTAGACGAAGTTCATAGGATGGTAATACCTTGTTTCGACTTTTATACATCCAGATGGTTATTCCTGTTTATCTGAAATTATGAAGCTCTAGACTGGGTATAAATTCTGAATTTATACATTCTGAAAACATTTATTTAATTATTATAAATAAACAGACGTATTACTAATAGAGTTTTTGTATGGTAATAGACCTTCACTCGAGTGTGCTGATGTGATTTTTAAATGACATTAAGCATCAGAATTGAAAATTTTGTTTTAATTAAATTATTATTTTAAATAATAATAATGTATCAACTAATTATTTTATGAAGATGGGTCATAAAGTGATTTATCTGTAATTATATGTGAAGAATTTATCCGTTCTTTTAATTTCCTTACATTTTTATTTATCTTTTGTCAACGTCTGGCCTTCATCTTCATGAACAATTTTTTTTTCTAATTGCTAATCTAATATCTCCAAAACTTTTATTAAGTTATTAAAAAAAGATTCATGAAGATGGGCTTGGAACCTGAAACGTTGACAAAAGAAAAATTTAAAATATGTAAATCAAAGTAAGAGATCCATGGCTCTTCCTCATAAAGTAATAAGAGAAGGCATCGTTTACTGTTGGCACAATAATCTACAACATATATCTAAGCAAAAGACTGTAATCAAGATCATAAGTCTTAAGTCTAATGCTCCCCATTATGTTAAAAATAACAATAAAAGTTGAGTAAAAGGTCTATTACTAATATGTCTATTCATAAACTGTATAATAATTAAGTAAATTATTTAATAATTCAGATTTTTTACCTATTCTTGAGCCTCAAAATTTGAGATAAGTCATAAATAACTATATGGCCATACAAAAGTCGTAACTTGATATTACCATCTATTCCAAACACTTCAATCACACATTAAAAATCTTGAAGAATTGTGTCAGAACTGCAGAATTAAAATAAATTCTAGTAATTTCCATCAAATTACCTTTAGCCTTCGTCGTCAATCAATGACTTCCTGTCCTTCGGTATCCTTTAACAATACCTGGCTTATTCCTGAAAAAATCCGTTACCAAGGACTACGACTGGACAAACGTCTTACTTGGAATCCTCATTCCAGACTGAAACGATAAGAAACCGACTACTTCAACACTTACTAGACAAACTCTCTAACCTTCCAACAAAAGACTCATATACATGACTATAATAAGGAGTATTTAGACTTACGGAGTTGAGCTATGGGACTCCACCAAACCTTCAAATTCCTCTCGTATCCAATCCTTACAATCCAAAATCCTTTTTAAAATCCTCAATGCTCCTTACTTTGTCACAAATAAAATCATCCACAGTGACCTTAATGTTTCTTATGTTTCGGATTTGGCCCAATCCAGATATCTATCCTTCAATAATAAACTTCATAACCATCCCATCCATCGTGTTTCTAACCTTGCTTCCTATTCAATACCTGATAACTCTCCGATGCGTCTGAAAAGAAGATGGTCCCGTGATCTCCTAACATAGACATATTATTAGAGTGCCACCAGTGGGTAGTTTCTCAACATATGTTTCATGTCCTTATATCCATGTACGAATTTACTAGAAGCATTTTTTTTATACAAGTGTAAATATCATATAAATAAAAAAAAAAAAGATATTACCATATATTAACTTCGTGTGATGAATTTCGATTTAGCAAACCAATACCTTCTTTAAAACATTGACAAAAGAAAAATATAATTTAACGGAAGATATATCTTCTTTAACAAAAATAAAAATAAAAAAATAGGATTAATAGTGTTTAAAATATTTTGTTTAATTGTTATTATTTTTTTAACGATTGTATTACATTAACTATTATGAATTTTTCAAGGTTGCCAAGAATGATGGAGTTCTTCGACAGGACAGAAACTAGGACCGGCTACCCGAACTCTTTCAGGATTTGCAAAGTAGTGTTTGCGATTATAGTCCTCATCCATTGGAACGCCTGCTTCTACTTTGCAATCAGTTATGCGATCGGGTTCGGATCCGACAACTGGGTTTACAACCTGACAGGGTTCAAGAACTCATCACTCTCCAGGCAGTACATATACAGTTTTTACTGGTCTACACTCACACTGACTACAATAGGTAAGTACCATTGAATATTCATATTAATCAAGAATTTTATATCGTTCAACACATAGGCAAGTTTTTTTGTAAAAATCATTTCTATGAGCACATGTTTATTCTTGGTTGTTTGTCTTTAACCGAAGATTTCTCAAACCCGTATTTCCTAGAAATTTTTTTGTTGTATTTTTGATTTCCCATCTTTAACACTCATAGCATAGTTCATGTTCTCAACCATTCAAACCCCGTTTTTCGTAAATAAAAAGAAATAAGTTGAATTACTTTTTATAATCCGATTAGAACATATTTTAAAAGACAGAAGAAGGTTGTTCAGTTTTGTAGATGAAGTGACTATTATCAGGAAAACGGTTATAAAAACGAGAAAAGAATTTCTCGGGCTTCAAAAACCTGAAATATGACTTATGGTGAATGGGAAAAAACCAAGCACATACTTTCGGGATTTCATCATACTGTCTAATACCACGTTCAAAAAGATATACAGAATTAGAGTAGTGGTGAGTTTGGGTTCCTATGCTTATATGAACTCTCAACATAATATAAACATAAACATTCGGAGAATACTCTTGCGTAACAACAAAGACTACTTGGAGTTTTACAAGCATTCAAAATGTAAAAGAATCTCCTGGTCGACGATGCACGTTAACTATAACACAAGAACCCATTTTTGTACCATACTTGTACTTGGCGAACAGTACAAGAACTCTTATTGTATTGTACGAATTATATGAAGTTTGTATGACTCAGCATGGAACAGCATGCTTTTAAAGTTTGTTTAGAAGTTGTACAAAGAATAATTGATTTAGTATATCTTATCCTTTTTTGTGAGTGCACGGAAAATTCTATGAAGCATATATACATTGGTATATTGATAAATATCAAGTGAGTTATGGAATATATTGGATATAATGGAATGAATCGATAAATTGGACTACTTCGATTTTATTAACGAACCGCATATAGAGCGGAAGCAGTGGAATCGAATAAAAACAATATAGGGCAATTTATTTTGAATATGAAGCCGGTCGAGAAGCAACCCTTGTAGCCTTGTTAAGAGGCGATTCAGAGCCAATTAGGAACAATACTGCGCCTGCCCCGGGATCAGGAGAAAATTACCCTTCAATTGGATTTCGAATTGCCCTTCCAACTTACGATTGCTGTTCTTTTGGACAGGTTGAATTTATTTTTCACCAACATTTTTTGTTATTTTTGCAACTTCATTTGCTACTATATAAGAGTGTAAGAAATACGCATTGGAAATTTTGGTTTCTTTATCATCTTTAATAATTAAACTATCTTAGCAGATATGGTTTTTTCACATTTTGTAATCCTAATTTGATTTTGTTTTGGCCTCTCCAAAGTAGATATCTATAACATAAAAAGGGATTTTGTACTTTTTCAATTAATTTTTCAGTGTTAATCATAATATTAGGAAAAAGCCGCTTTAAAAAAATTAATAAAATACTAAGACAGGGAAACTATATAATTAACTGCAACAACGTTTCTGAAAGCCAGTTTGACAACTGGGGCTACAAATAAATGCGGACAAGAGAAAATATATGTTTAGTTGCAAAACGGTGGCTAATTTGGAGATCAGTCAGGCCTCTCTTCCTGAATAGTAAAAATTATAATTTACAAAACCATATACATTTTTTTTTCTTGCACCTCTCGACTTTTCACCATGAGTCTTCTAGCAGCTTTTTGGGGGCTGTTATAGGCAACAGCAGTGATCGATTGGTTCTCTTATTCAAGATATCCAAGAAGCAAGTTGTTCACCAACCGGAGGTGATCACAATTCACTCCCTTTTCATCAGACACTTTCCTGAAGGATGGTTGGCAATCTTTTGCAGCTTCTCCACCTAGATTTTATGGAATAAGGATCATCAGCCCTATACCCAATTCCCAAGATGGAGGATCAGGAGATATAGAGTAAGATACACAGGTGGCTCACCTCCCTTTGAATCTCTGGGTGGAGACGTTACCTCCACTAAAATGGTCGATGCAATCGAGTAGGGTCTGCACTTGCGTGAACTGTTCCCGATAAATGTAATTGAGCTGATTTTATGGTGGCGAATAAAATTGGTATGTGAAATTTTTGGGCTTGGTAATGACAGAATCCCTAAAAGGTTAATATGCTCTGTTCCGACTGGTATGCTTACGAGTGTAAACCGATGCGTAGGTTGGATGATTGCGGGTGAAGATTAGTGGAGTTGGGATGGATAGTATTGAGAAGTTTAGACAGCAATTGGTGATACCGGCATCGAACTTTCGCGCTCGCTAAGCCTTTGTTATTTTTTAAAAGAGTTAAAATTTTGCTCTTTGAATGTTCCAAAACAAAATAACTATTAACTATTCGGTGATTTAAATATCTATCTTCGCTAATATACCTATCTCAAACATTTACCTTGATAGGGGTTATACTTTAACGCTCTCAGAAAACTTATCGAATACGTCGACCATCGATCTTTTCTTTACATATCAACCATACAAGGTACAGGGTGCACGATTCTGAATCGCGTTACTTTCTGACCACTGAGCAGTACTATATCACGTTCTGAAAAAAAATGTAAACTAACCAACTGACAAGGATTTGTACCACAGCTGGATACTTCACAACTTAAAATGTATACCAAATGTTTAAAAAAGGAATTGATTTGCATACATTGGACATATTTCAAACAATATGTAGCTCAGCAGTTATTATCATCCGAAATTCTTTACTCTAACCTGTTTCGTTCGTGTGAATAGGAGGAATCGATGGCACCACACTATTGAAAATTTTGAACTCACTGTGCAGATTTGAATACTGTAAGAAATGCAAGGTTTTGTAAATCAGTAGCAAACACTTATCCAGTCAACTTCTATTTCTAGGTTACCTCAACAATCCTTTTTTTTTTTAATTAAATTTTTGTTTCTAAGTCCAATGAAAAACAAAGAATGAGCCCCATGGCTTTATTTATTAAATAGAAATCATAGACATTAGGGAAATAACTATGTCAATATAGACCTCCTTAAAATCGAAGCACGCAGAAAAATGAGAATTTCAAGACCCTGAAAAACGTCAGACTCAAAAAAGTAAATGAGGGGTTACGAAAATAAAAGAAATAAATCTAAGCCTTTGTTATTTTTTAAAGTTAAAAGTTTACTCTTTGAATGTTCCAAAACAAAATAACTATTAACTATTCGGTGATTTAAATATCTATCTTCGCTAATATACCTATCTCAAACATTTACCTTGATAGGGCTTATACTTTAACGCTCTCAGAAAACTTATCGAATACGTCGACCATCGATCTTTTCTTTACATATCAAGCATACAAGGTACAGGATGTACGATTCTGAATTTCGTTACTTCCTGACCACTGAGCAGTACTATATCACGTTCTGAGAGAAAATTGTAAACAAACCAGCTGACAAGGATTTGTACCACAGCTGGATACTTCACAACTTAAAATCTATACCAAATGTTCAAAAACAGGAATCGATTTGCATACATTGGACATATTTCAAACAATATGTAGCTCAGCAGTTATTATCATTCGAAATTCTTTACTTTCCCCTGTTTCGTTCGTGTGAATAGGAGGAATCGATGGCAAGACACTATTAAAAATTTCAAACTCACTGTACAGATTTGAATATCATAACTGTAAGAAATGCAAGGTTTTGCAAATCAGTAGCAAACACTTATTCAGTCAACTTCTATTTCTAGGTTACCTCAACGAAATTTTTTTTTTTTTTTTTGTACTTAAATTTTTGTTTCTAAGTCCAACGAAAAACAAAGAATGAGCTTTTTTCTATTTATTAAACAGAAATTATGGAAATTAGGGAAATGAGTATGTCAATATAGACCTCCTTAAAATCCAAGCACTAAGATTTTTTTTTTCCGGTTGCCAGGCAACTAGCGGTGCTGTTACACACGCTTTAGCCTATTCGGCCACCCCGCCCCCTAGCTGAATTTGAAGACCCTGAAAAATGTCAGACTCAAAAAAGTAAAGGAGGGGTTACGAAAATAAAAGAAAGAAATAACCGCCCGTATTATATCATTATAACTCCAAAAATGAAATTTGAAATGTAAACTGGAAATTACTGTTAAATAAAAATAAAAACGAGCCAGCAGAACTTTGTTAGTGCAGAAGCTAACTGGTCAACAACTTGACAGTGACGTTTTCATTTTAATTATACCAGTTTAAGGTTGAGTTTTACAAGAGAATAAATGCACAGTTTAATCCCACATGAGTCCTTCTTAAACATTTTTGACAGTATATATTATTTCACTTAATCTCTTCTCATAATTCAGAGCAAAACTATTTATTATATTCTTCAACTGAATAAAGCTTAGATATTTTGGAATGAATATAATCTGTTAAACGTCAGTTAAAAAACCTTTAGATAAAAAATCATCGCTTTAATATTGCTCATTGATTAATTTATATGAATAACATTTAGGAGTAATTATTCTGTGAATATCATAAATAAGTTAATAAGCTGTCATGCTTTATAATTATATAATGGCTTATACCATGTATATTTGTATGTACTACGAACAATGATATATGGATCCATAATAATATAAGTTAATTTTTTTAAGAAAGAGAATAAAGCATAAATAAAATCACGCAAAATAATTTAAAATAAACCTTTCAATAGAAAGAACTATTTTAATCAGTATATGGACTAATATACAGTGATGTACAAAAAAGAAACAACAATTTGGTGAAATGTGATTAAATATTCTCTAATAGGATATTTGAATCTAGAATAATGTGATCGAATACTCAAAAGCATAGCACATAAGAGCACTCGCTGATGCTTTTAACATCAGTAATGTCAGTTCGGTTGTTCAAATATCGGAATACAAGCCCAAACACGTTGTCCACATTATTTGATTATATCTACAGTTTTATAATTTGCAATAACAGGTGCTTTTGAAGATCTAATATATGATGTACCTTCTCCACCGTGATATATCAACCATAACTAATGAAATGACCCTTCAGTCTATTTTTAGTGTTAATAATATTTACAGTGGTAGTTTTAATATTATCCGTTGAGTTTTTTAATGCTATTAATAATAAATAAAAGACTACAAATGTGCAATAATATTCCCTAATGGTTACTATTTTTGTGTCAACACGTTTAATACAACATCAGTTCCAATAAAATTTCGAAACGCACATTGATGTTTGCTTCTTGCTTCTTTTTGGATATAAGGAGTTTTTCCAGGTCAAGAAAAGTATTATTAAGGAGGGTTCTCTAATGTACAGGATTTGTCCCTTGCATATATACACTTAACTGCTCAAACCCATTTGGACGTACGCCTCACAGATTTACGGTTCAGCAAAAAAGACTCTCTTACAAAAACTACAATCCTTTCAATCTAAAATTTTAAGATTAATAACTGCAGCTCCCTGGTACGTCAACAACAAGACTTTACATACCGACCTAAGACAACCAATCCTTGACCAGCACAAGCGTACTCTTTACTCAATGGACTTATCAACGATATGGCCGTGGCTGAAATTCTCATCAGAAGGCGACTGAAAAGGAGCTGGATTAGAGATCTCCTTTCCTGATTTTAGGATGTAAACAGGCCAGGGAAGAGGTGCTGCTGGGCTCCATTCTTAGTCATGCCTATCATGTCATTTTCAACTTGACAGCAAATCTGCTAATTGTCACTACCATGACAGGTGCGGATGAGGAATTAAAGACAAAAAAAAACATGATTTTTTATCCAAAATTGTCTTCTAAATGAATACCGTGAACTTATGTTAACAGATCCTAATATTATAATGTTTTTTGTTTTTTTATATTACTTTTCAGGAGAAACACCTCAACCGGAGAACGATATAGAATATTTGTTCGTGGTAGCTGACTTCTTAGCTGGAGTGCTGATCTTTGCCACGATCGTAGGTAACATCGGCAGCATGATCTCGAATATGAACGTGGCCAGGGTTGAATTCCAGAACAAGATGGATGGCGTGAAGCAGTACATGGCCTTCAGAAGGGTTTCTAGGGAACTGGAAGCCAGGGTCATTCGATGGTTCGCCTATACCTGGGCCAATAAACAGGTGAGTTTACTTAGTTGTATCTAATTATCTTGTTATCCTATAGTCTAGTTTTAATACTTAGCTTGTTCGCTAGTTTTCCAGTTTTGCCGGTTCCCATTAAGTTTTAATGAACTGATCCCGGAACCAGGTAACCATATATTCTCTAATACGACATAAGAATCCAACAATTAGTAACCATCTTCAACAGCTCATTAATTCAACAAAACCGCTGATCTTCCTTCATAGAACCGAAGATTCTTCGTTCATTATTACTTTCACTAATTAGTGATAAGAATTATTTGGACTAGTATTTTCTGGAGAGCACAGTATTAAATAATATAGCATAAAATAATATATCGATATATAGATGGTTGGCCGTAATATAATATGAGAAGGATTTGATCGGAGGGGGGCGGTCAAATGAATACTAAATTTTAAAAATACTATTGTTAAAATTTAGTATTTATTTTACCGCACCCCCGATCAACTCCTTCTCAAAAAAATAAATCGCTTGAGGTATAAAACATTTTTAGTGCCCATGAATAAAAGTTTGCTTAACCTGCTTTGTCACTTACTTAATCTGTTATCCTAAATCTCTATCGCAAACTTGTGCTTCTTTTGTGTTGAGTTTGTGCTTCATAATGAAGCATAGTTTTACTACATTTTAGAATCCGGCTTTGTTTCTGTCATGCTTTGATCATTATTAAAAAAACCTAACTAATGCCTGTTTTTCAAATTTAGTGAAAAGCTTTATTTAGTGAAGTTATAAGTAATGGTTTTAAAAGATTATTTGGCAGAAATACGATTTAAAAAGTTGCAGAGAACATTACATCTTAAGCCTGCGAAAAAAATTGAACCGAAAATATAATCCTCATAAAACAAAAATTACGCAGTTTTTTTCGTTTCCTGATTTTTTTTTTTTAGTTTTTGTTCTTACAGGCTTTTGCAGTGTGGCTGTCGATATGCTATTTATTGATCCCTTCCTGTTTTTGTATAATTCATTATTATAAGATCCAATTTCAATAAAAAAATATATATTTATTTTTTGATAGTTTTGTAGGTATGGAAATAAGACTACATTGCCCTCCAAACCTGTACTAGCCTTATCATCTAACTCTTTATTATTTCTAATTTCATTAACAATTTCGAAAGAAATTTTTTGTAAGGTGAAACTTCAGCCATCAGTTATTTACATAAAGGATGCTTTATTACATTGCTCATATTTTGAAAAGTGTTTTTCTCCTTCTAGATCTGCGATCGACTCCTCTGTCTGTCATTTGATTAATTTGTTACATTAGAATACTATAATGATTATTAATTTTATCATTAATTACTATTTATCAGTGTCTCTATATGTTCTGAATTGACTATTTTCCAGAGTTTTTATTACATTAATTTCTATTAACTTCAGCCATTTTAATTTTTTATTAAATTTATTTAATAATGCCAGTAACCTCAATGGTTACTGAAATACATAAAGAATATGTTTATGTCATGTTGATTGGATTTTATAACATTGGACTAGACATTGACTCATAACAATAAATGGTGGAAGAAGTCATTATTGGAGTATATTTTCCGTGTCTACGAATCCATTAAAAAGACGGCGTCCGTTCTACTTTTATTACTTTAAATTTTTTATCAACATAGTTTCGAGGAGTTACAAGAAACCAAATCTAAAAAGAAGCAGTTTGAGCGTAAGGGCAGGAGACGTTGACGAAGAGGAAGTGCTAAGTAGATGGTTTATCAATCCTCAAATGGTTACCGATTTCTCAAGCCTCTTTTCCAATTTTCCCCCTCCATTAGACCCTTCCCCCCCTTCCATTTATTATCGAGGACCAGGTTATCGAAATTATAACGACGTTTTCTTATATTGTCTTCCGTAATCTGTTAGTTGTTCTCCGCTAAACATCGCAAGTAGATTTTTCCTTAATAAATATTATGATTTACTTATTTTTTTCATCTTTTATTGTTAACAATGCTACCAATTGCATAAATTATTATAGTTGGTGGTACAGCCTGAAACTTCGTAAATGGCTTCATCTCATCGTAACCTACAAATATTTTATTTACGAAAACCCTCGGAATTGGGGTGTAGTCAATCTAGAAATCGGCTAATTTTGTTTAATCAATTAGGTAATAAAAACTCATAAATACCTATTTGCTTTCCAATGAAATCGTAATATAATTTGAGCACAAGAAATAATAAATTCAACAATACTCCATTTTTCAATATAACTACATAGATTCTTTTCTATATAACAAAAGATAGTTGGTTTTAAATAGAAGGAAAGTCTTTGGAAACTTATTCTATTTAAGGAATTCAAATAGGAATACAAATTAAGGCTAAATAGTTACTAATACTCGACAATTTTAGTTATTATAATAATAATTGGTATAAGCAAAATAATTTTGCATTTAACTCCTCTAATTTTCCATTCAGGCCTAGTTAGGTTTCTCCTGTCAAAAAAAATCAGTAATATCTCTATAGTAATAAGCTAATAAGTAACTGCAAGACTATTCCAAGGCTCTTGCGCGAGACCAAGGAACATGACCAAGACTCGTCTCAGTCTCGCGTTTGGGCAAGACTAATTTTGAGCTATAATTGGTTTTTTTTTAATACGGAATTCGACATCCTTTTTGGATGGATGATAAAAATATATTTCATGCAAATATATGTTTTTGGAAATCAAATGATCATGATCCTGAAATGATCATGAAATGATCATGCAAATTTGAAGAATGTGCAGAGAGGTCCTGTTGCAAGTTGCTGTAGGACTAGGTGAGGGTAACAAGATTGTGAGATAGTAATAAGAAGGGACTTGTGAATTTTAAGCAGAAATAAGTGCTGGGAGTTGCACTAATGAGTTGCTGCCCAGCCCTGATGAGGTTCCCGGGTAAACAGGTCACCTCTCCCTTGTCGGTTTGATCAGCATATTCCTAGTGTCCCGGGGAGCTTCAGCTTTTCCATCTGCAGTTATCTCTAGTATAGATAACGTCTTATCTTTGCCGCTGTAAGGTGGCAAAATTAAATAGAAATATCAAGTAATACAAATTACTATGTAATAAAATATGTTATTAACATTATTGACATATAATGTTATAAACATAATAATGTTTTTGGCAACTATGGCAATAATAACACATAATACAAAAACATTATTGCCACATAATACATATAATGATATAAACATTATTGACTCTAAATTCTTATAAGAGAAGTTGGTTGAAGATTATAGTCATTAAACGTGCTTAAAAAACAAATTGTGGTGACGTTTCGGCATAAATTTCAGGCCTTTGTCAGATCTAAGTAAAAGACCATATAACAAATAAATACTGAGAAAATAATTATGTGTAAAAATAATTGGACTAGTATATGTAAAAAGTTAAACTTAACATTAATTAATATATGGAATGAAAAATAAAACTAATACATATAAGTAGTTAAATTAAAAACAGATATTTTTTTTTGTCTATCAAAAAATAAATTTGCGCCTTTCAACTTATTGTTGACAATCAGCAAATGTGATAGCGATACATGATATAATAGCATGACAGGCATGGGGAAGGAGAGTACTCAGCAGTACCTCTTCCCTAACTTGTTCCAATTACTTAGGTTGTCTAAGGAAGGAGATCCCTCATCCAACGCCTTTTTAGTCTCCTCCTCATGTTCTGAGGTATGTCAGCTGTGGCCATGTCTCTTATAAGTCTGTTATTATTTAAATTTGTGTAAAATCGTTGGTAAAGGGACGTTATATGTTGGTCAATAGTTAGAAAGTGGAGGTCAGTATGTAGAGTTTTGTTAGTCACGTAACAGGGTGCTTTTGTTATGAGTCGCAATAATTTTGATTGGGACGTTCGAAGTTTTTGTAGGTGGGTCTTTTTAGCGATACCTTATATCTGTGATGAATAAGTCCACATGGGTTTAAGTAAGTATGTATATGTATTCAGTTTCGGTTTTAGTTTTAGTTTTGAAGATTTAGAAAAAATAGAGTAAAGTAGTTTGAGTCTTTTGTCAAGTGTCTTACGTTTCCTTATGACATGCGGACCCCAAGTCATCCTTCTGTCGAAGGTGAGTCCAAGGTAAAGTACCGTGTCCGTTTAAGGAATTTGATTGTTGTCAATATAAACTGGAGGGCAGGTGAGGTATTAAATTGTATTTTTTTTTTTCGAAGTAAACAAAATGGATTTTTTTTATATGACTTAGGAGTTTTACCTTAAAGTTTTTAGTTTAAAAAAAATATGTAAGAATCAACATTCGAACGTTTTTTGGGCATGTAAAAGCAAAAAAAATTACTTATATTATAAGTTATGTTAAAATTGTATCCAATGCACAATTTCACAAAAAAAAAAAAAAAAAATACCTCGGCATTACAAAAGTATCTACGTACAAAGTAATCAGTGATATCTGGCATTAATGTAGAGTGAACTCATTATTAAATTCAATTGATTTTCTGTCAATAGATTTCTGTTTGTTTTTCGTATGTATACTTTATTTATAAAATATTAATTTAATTATATTCACGATGGCTTTCATTACTGCTGTTGACGTTTTTCATAAAACTCGAAATTGTGTAGGGTCGATATTGATGAAGGTAAAATATTGGATCCCCATATTGAAGATGCCATTGTGCTCAGTATAATTTCCAATACTGCGACCTGCTTACCCATTTTCTGATGAATTTCTCCCCGGTGGTTTCCTAGAATTTAAAACCCTCTTCAAAAAAATTTAAACAGTATAAAACGGTATTGCTGTTTCCCCTTCTGAACAATGCGAGTGATTTGATTTTCTTAATATTTACGGCATTTGTTTGTTTTTTTTAATCTAATTTGTATTTGGTTTCCGTTTTAACATTTTTTCCTTAATTAAAAAAAACTATTTAAATAGTTACATCCCTAATATGCATGTATTCTTTTATATGCGATTTAAGGAGAATATATAAATTAAATGAAGTATTGGGTTTGATCAGTGAGCATGGCACTGTGCTCCTAATTCCGGCTCCGTGTTCGAGTCTGGCCAT